TAGATTATTATTTTGAACAAATAAACCATTAATTTTTAAAAATTGGTTACTTACATCATTATAACCTAAAACTCTGTGTGTAATTGGCTAAAAAGTTTAACTACAGAAGACTTAAGGGGATGCTTGGCAATTGCTGAATGGTTTGGTGTAAAATGATTAAGAGACTCTCATGATATAGTGCAAAATGAAATATAATTGTTTGGTAATTGTGTACAATGAAATTAGGACTCTTAATGGTTAAGGGAGATCAAGATACAAAATCATTCAGAGGATTTTAAAACCATTAAGAGACAGACTTTTTTTTTTGCCAAACAAGATTCACCTCTTAACGATTCAGAGGTTGCCTCTTAATGGAACTATTAAGAGGTAAACAAACAACCCCTAAATCAGTTTCAATGGTGCAAGATTTGAAAACAGTAAAACTGATTTAGAGTATTTTTTTTTACTTTTACAAATTTTCTAACCAGTTACAGATTTTTATTTATTTAAAAGATGTAGGTTAAAAAAAATTCAACAATTTATTTATTACAGAAAATAAAGGACTTAATTATTTAAAATGAGAAATTTCGATGATTTATTTATTCAAATTTTTTTTACGGGTTTAATCATTTAAAATGAAAAAAATTTATTGGGATTTTCTGAATTTTTTCCTATTTTCTACTTTAATTACTAGAGAGAACCTTGAAAAAAGAACTATAATACTACTAAAAAACAGATAAAAATATATATCAAAATGTATGTCAAAATTAAAGATAGTAAAATAACTGTTTTTTGGTGTAATTTGTTTTTTGAAGGGCGTTGCAGGCTATGCCTGAACTAATCCGCACACATTGTAACTGTAAGAATTCAACCTTGATAAATTTAGTGACCATAATTGTTGTGTACGTTTGGAAACAAACCTTGGGCAGATGAGATATTCCATCACATCCCTCAGGACCTCAACCACTATGCCACAACCCTTATGGTTCTCGTCTCATGTTTCCGATACTGGTTCTAGTTGATACGTTTTCTTTATTCTGTTTTACTAAAATTGTATAAGTATATTGCAACATAATATATCTTTATTTCGTTTCCTCATAATTCTATTTCATGGATTTCTGTAGTTTTCAGAGATCGAGGATCTCTTCTTTTGGTTATCAGTTTCATTTAGCATTTTGTTCTAACTGCTAAAAGACTCGACACTGATCTTATATTTGAACATGTTTATCAATTTATACATCCTGCCTTCTTTAACAGTTACGTGGTCCTAGTATGAAACAAATCATCATACAAGTCAAACATCGATTTGAACACGTAATCGACTAACTAAAATATCTAAAAACGACATATTCGAGTGGTATATTCGTCAAGATCTTATTTGTTCAACGATTATATCATTATTCATCGTTAAACATTGATCGTATTCAAGTTATCGTATGTTTTACAAGGTTTGAACTTGATTTACTATTTGAAGGAAAATACCTCACAGTGGAGCCCGCATAAATGATGCTTGTATGTACGGACGTTCCATGATATATCATATATGAGTGGAATACTGATTGTACGAAACCAGATGAATGAAAAATCGATCGTGAAGAATCGATCGGAATCTTAAAAAAAACCAAAAAAAAGTGAATAAAAAGTGGTTGGGATCCATCCTATTGGTCACTATGTTCAACTTGATGTACCTTGTTTCTCGAAAGGTTGAGTCGTCATGATGTTTTTGTAGATGGTGTGCTTGCATTCCCATTATCTTTTTTGATCCAATAGAAAAAGGTTATTTTTGATAGATAGAAATTTGGATGTGAAATTAAAAAACCTGATTGGGTTCACGTGAGATAAGACTGTTTTCGTGAGACACTGTTTTTCTACTTGAAACTTCACAACAAATATCAAATTGTGTTTGTGAACAATGTTCATGTGTTTACTTCTGAACACTGTTCATTTTTTTTTACGTAATTGGTAATTTGTATATATCTAGTTTTTGTTATGTGTATGTGGTTATCAGGTTCACATATGAGCATAATATTTTTTTTAAATGTTGAAATGAGATGGTTCATCTATGAACAAATATTTATTCATGTATAATTAATAAATGTAACTGATAATTAATTTACTTGGAATAATTAAGAAATGTAACCAACAATTAATTTGCATGAGATATTTACAATGACAAGACATGGAATAAAATAAGAAATGTAACCGGAAATTAATTTACATTAAAAGAAAGATCAAATAAAAAAAATTACATTTCTACCCTTCATTAAATAAATTTATCATGTGCATCAACTAAAAGTGTATCTTGTTTTCTATTGGTTTTGTAAAGTTAACCTCTATATCAACGTAAAATCATGACGGAAGTTAATGTTACACCTCCGTCTCGAGGACTCCTCATGCCCGATGAGATTTTCCCCACCGTCTCAATAGTAGAAGGATCACCTCTGATACCGTTTATAATGCTCCACAGTCCAAAGCAGTAGACTGATCCAACCTCGAAATTGACTTAAAACCATGTTGGAGAGTTATTGATTGCCCACAAGTTTAAACTTATAAGAAGTTTACAAATCTAACTTTCAATCCATATAAATCGGGTTCTTAAAATTAGGGGTGCAAACAATACGAGACAACTTGCGAGCTACTCAAGTTCGACTCGGTCTTGGTCAACACTCGACTTGAACTCAAGCTTGAGAAATAGTTATTGAGTTCGAGTCGAGCTGTGGTTTTTACTACTCGCGAGTTTTCGAGCTCGAGTCGAGTATGTTGATATTCGAGCTCGACTCGCATCATTTACGCCCTACTTACAATAAAAACTCTAAAACAATCACTTTTCTTTTGAGGTGACGAAGAATAAAAAGGAAAAGAGAGAACGAGGTGAGAGGGTGAAGAAGGACAACAGAGCTAGCTAAAAAAATATACAAAACACTTGAAAGATTCTCTTTTTGTCTGTTACGACACTAAAAACTTATCTGTTAACTCTCTATCGTCCCTAAAGATTACTGCTCACCCTCCACCCATCAACCCTTACTAAAATAATATAGTAAATGGACAAAAATACCCCTACTTAAACAAACAATTTCTCTTAAAAGCTCATTTTAAGCCCACATCATTCAAAATCTTCCTTCCTTTTGAAAAGCTAAAAGCCTACATCTAAAGATAAACATAAAGCAAATCAAGATGAATATATTTTGTTATTTTATTTTGCACTTTTTATGTTTAAAAATGAAGATAAATATTGGAATATAAAAGCGACAAAAAGAGGGACATTTTAGTCATTTTTTTATTTATAATAAATCCTTTTATTATTTGTACGAATATTTCTATTTTAACTGAAGACGGTGTTTCTTTAGACCGATACTTCAGTTGTATGACTCATCAAACATAAAATATAACTTCATGATCTTTCGCTCATACATAGGAATCGAGCATACGTTATCACATTTTTTTTTATGCCTTCTTATATTTTATTAGACATAACGTATAAAATACACAAATATTCCGGGTTCTTTGATTCACGAAATATCCGCATTACAGTTTTTTATATTTATGTAACCATTACATATACATACCATTATTTGAAATGATGCATGAACCAACACTTTATTTATTTTTTATTTTTCAAAGTATAACAGGTTAATACTGATCAAAGGTAGACCCACATTCTTCGTTTATGAGAAAAAATCTATGTAAACTTTTATCCTAAAAAATTTACAAGTTTGTTGGGTTAATACTAATCAAATATTCAATTAATGAACTATAATTATCTTCCATAAATATTCAAATCATGATAAATGAACTCTCATCATTTCCATCAATATCTCAATTTATTGGGTTGCATTAGTTGTACAAATGGACATGATTGCATTATATATAAAAAACACCCAACAAAACGATGCAATGACACCCTTTAGGAACATGTTTTTTCCCATTATGATAGAACCACAAAACGGTGGCCAATGACACTGTATGCTCCTATGTCGACCCTTTGTACCAACCATTAGAGGTGGCCATGTAGTACCGGACCAGCCTTTTCTCGGACCACTTTAACAAGAAATTGACTAACTGAGATTTTAAACTTCTACATTCCAGGACCATTTACAGTGGAAAACGATGTGGCCTGCAGATTCCATCTACTCGCACATTCAGCATTGCTGGTACATTGCCTTACCTCATAGTACATGAAACATGAGCCGACATAATCAAACAAACTCAGTAAATTCTAAACCCTAAACCCTAAATTGTATGGAGTAGGATTTTGGGGCGAGGGGAGGAAATGTACATAAACCTTTCCTCTACTCCAAACAGGAGCAGACCTATGAAGGCCCTAGCGGGTCTCGTGCACCCGCTCCACCGATTTTCGCAAGTAGAAATTTTTTGGATATGAAAGGTGTACACATTAAACTTTGCATGGTGTTCTGGGATGTTAGAAAATACAGGGGACATCAACCAAAAAAGTGACTGGAAATCAACTAACTTTTTAAAAAATCCCTCGGAACGATGGAATTCCCATAAAAGACATCCGGAAATTTTGTAGGCTTTTGATCCAACTTAAAGGTGTATTCAGTCGGCAAAAATCATGGGTCCGACGCTGGCCCAAACTGTATGCTTTCGGGGAAATTGACTAAAATAGCGGGTCTCCCCACTCTTATTCATTTTAGCCACATTTTCAAGTCAATTCCCACACTAACCATTCTTTATGCAAATGTTCTATGCATTTGCATAAACCACATTTTTAGAAAAGAAAAAATGGGCATTTGTGTAAAAAAAGTTACAAATTTGCGTTAAAAAATTATACATTTGCATAAAGAATGGCTAGTTCGGGATTTGACTTGAAAATATGGCTAAAAAGTGAAGTAGGGTGAAGAGATAAGAGATTAGCTGTTTTCAGTCAATTTCCCAATTGATTTCACAGTGTTTGCAGACCAAAATGGTTAAAAGTAAGAGACCATAAATTCCATCTAAGAACCTTGATTCAAGAAACTGCTGCATAGTTTCAGATGAATGATTAACAATGAACAAATCTTGGTTTAAGGGGTTCAATTTTTATGGAAAACTACTCTTTTTACAATGCAGTTGGTTCTTACACAAACAAATATCACAATCCCCACTGATCCCAACTAAAAAAGCCCGACTTTTTTCCACCGGAGTGGGACCATCTTTCGTTCATGTCGTGGAGTTGATCTTTAAGATCTTTATTATCCGCTAGCAATCCATCATATTCTACGAGTAACCCTTCTAATCGGCTTTTGAGAGCATCTGAATTGGCTTTTCTAGACTCCACCTCATTCTCCTTTCTATCACATTCCAATTCCAGTTTCTTTATCTCTGTCCTTAACCTAGATATTTTTTCCTTTACAGATTTGGCCTCATTTGCACTCTTTTTCTTACCCTCTTCGTAGGCCTGGTTTTGTTTCTGTGCAGCACTTAAGGTCTTTGTAAGTATGTTAACTTCTTTGGTGTATTGATGTAGGCCGTCTATAATCAGCAATAGGAAAAGCGAGAAGCCTGCATGAAGTTATGATTTCACCCATATCAGCCAAAAAGGTTCCTATAACGGTTCGGCAAAGATTTTCAAAATCAAGATTCCTTAACATGTTAAATATATAAAGATTTTCTAGCTCTGGGATTGATGTAAAACTAGACTAGATGCTACTACTACTACTACTACTACTACTACTACTACTACTACTACTACTACGACTACAGAAAGTCACAATCAATCATCTTAACAATTTGTCACACATTTGGCGCGACAACATACTAGGATAGGACGGGACTGAGTGGGACAAAAATAACAAAAATCGGGGAGATTGGCAAGATCGATAAATTACTAAACCATGTCAAATTAAAATCCTAAAACCTTTCACAATTCTTCCACCTACATGCTCACTCTTGCCTGTCTCGTCCATGTACCAAATGCACCCTTTCGAGATATAGGTACCCCTCAATTAGTTCATCTTAACTATGTTAAACTTATGAGCCCAGATGGCTAGACCTTGCAACTCATAAAATCCTTCTTTTACTCCAGCACTAGTAAACCCTGTGTCGCTAAGACGCTAACTAAACTCATTTGTATCTTAAACCTATAAAATGGAGAGGAATGAGTTTAAGAGTGAAAGTACTTTAATATATAGCTTTTGATGGAACTACTGTCAGCTACAAAGAATTGAAGATCTGGTTCCCCGTTCACAAGCAAAAGTGATAATTCAACATGAATCTAATTCTTATGTTGAAATCTACAAGACAAATAAGCACCCTCACATAGACAAATAAATGTTGGTCTTGCATGAAAAGAATACTCTCCATAAGGCATAAGCTAGTTGCACATTTTGACAAATGCAAGATGTTCGTTGCAACTTGGAACCTTTCTTGTAAGAGGAAAGTATTATTTCATAATATCTTATACATCTCCTATTACTTCATCCCCATGCCTTCAATGAAATACCTTTAGGCTTTAGTAATTTGACAAGTACCCATACCAATAGAAATATCATACAGCCTAGCACCATGATGCAGAATAAAAAAAGTTAACACAAACAGAGTTTATTTATAGAGCAATGCCCATTGCCAGGAGTTTATCTCGATGAAAAACATGATTATAAAGTGTCTACTGATAGGAGTTTACGGCAACTTCTTCCCTGTTTTCAGGCACACCATCAACATGGATAAATTGTTTCTTGATTTTGAAATGTTACTCCTTATGCAAAATTAACATATATCGATCTTCATCAAAACCAAAACGATGGAACAAAACTAAAAAAAAATGCTACAAAAACCAGTATTCTAAAATCTCCGCTAGGAGATGCTAACGTGATCCCCTAGGCATTAAGAGTCCCCACACCACGTCAATTAGTTAAGGCCGCTTAAAGGGCTGGTTAGGAGTCAAGTCCCCCTCCCCACCGCTTTTATTAACGACTAGTCATCTAAAAGAAAATAAATGAGAATATATCTCCTTTACTCAAGTTATGCTCATCAACCGACTTCTCTCAACTGTGGAGGGGATCTCTCGAATCTTTTACTAGTAAATTGTATACATGGAGCAATGAACCAGTCATCTAAAAACATAACTGTATCAACATAATATAACATCAAGTTTTTGTTCTCAAGTGTTCACGTAATCTAAAACTAATGTTATATAGATCTAAATCAACTGTTTATGTTTCTGCTTAGGCGCTAAAGCAATAGATGGTCACTCAAACGTCTAGCTCCACTTACACTTTTTAGAACACTTAATAAAACAAGATAGCTATTCGCAAAGAACAACCAACTTACCATGAAGGCGTGCAAGTTGAGACTGATGCTCAAGAAAAAAAGGGAAAGAATATCCAAAATAGATCTTCATCAACCAAATTGCCTAAAAATCCAAAAGACAGCAAGACTATCCACTGAGGTAGTGGATGACGGCTAGCTCCCAGTAAAATAATCTATACAACAACATAAAGGAAAATCTTGTCCTCTTACTCATCCCCACCTCAAATCCAGCGTAAACGATCCAATACTCATAAGAATTGAAGGATAGTTACTTCCATAACAACCCAGTGTAGAATGTTACTCCAACCCCTTGAGCATTTATTACACATATGAACTCTGAACTTATAATCTATGCTGCAGAAAGCAGGACTAACACATGGTGGCAAGGAATTCATGGGCTGAATAACAACATACCCTTCAATTATTTACCTCTTGGAATTCATCTTTCATCCCCAGTTATATAACTGATCTCCATCCTTTTGTAAGAGATTTATGGTTAATTGCAAGAATTCGTGTAAGGTATATAAAGTCCGAATCTAAAAATACATAGAAAACAGTCAACTGATTTTAGATATTGGAAGATATGATGGGCAGACAGTAGCTTGACCGATGCATTTAGGAACATAATTTCAAACTAAGGTATACTTGAAGCAAATTTGATGCAAATACTCAGCTCAAATCAATTGCATCGAATGATAAATCACTCTCACGAACAAGTGATTAAAGAAATTTATCGGAGATAAAACTATAAAGAAATGAAAAATTACCGATGAGAGAAGCTTCGAGCACAAGGTAGGCAAGAATGGCGCGATTGGGGGAATCGACGGCATCGCCGCAACGGCTATGGATTTGCACTACGGTGTAAAGAATGTACATCATGACTACGAACACGGTGGCGGTGACAGATTTTACAGCCAATTGAGCTCTCCCTTGTTTCAACCCATCTAATTCGACAAGTAAACGTTCTTGGAGTGGAGATCTGAACTGAAGTAACAGAATGATGATCAATTGGGCGTATAAAACCGTGAATAATAGGTAAATCATTGTATAACTTTGAGAAACTGTGCTAAAACCCTAAAGGCGATCCATCGGCTAGAAGAAGGTGCGCTTCCATGTGAATTTGAAAATTGATTGGGTTGGTCGCCGTCTGGCCTTCCCGATCAGCCACAGGTCTGAATTTGACCCACCGGCACGTTTGTTCAAGATTCCATTTTCAAAGCACCGGACCTCATCGTCTATGGGATCATTAGCCATCTTTACGATCTTACAAGAAATATCACGGGTGTTTGGGAATGACTGTTTGAATTCTGTAAAATTGTTTATCAATTTTTTATAAATTAAAATGGTTTAATTTCTTTAAAAAACCTCTTTATTATTGGTTTGACATCTATATAATTTGTTTATCCAAACATTTAAAAGTATTATCGGTGTCACATCAGAATAAAGTAATAAGTTATTTTTAGAAGCAATCCCAAACATACCATATATCGGGAAATTAATCCAAACAACCATTTTCAGATTAATTCATCTTTTAGTTATTTTTTTCTTCTTATTTTAAAAATATCACTGCCTTCGTAAGTAACAACTTCCTAACTTATAAAAAGGTCAAAGTTTAAAAACAAAAGTTTCTAAACCAAATCCGTAAGTGTAAGAACCATATCTGTAAATTAGTCATAACACTTCTGCAGGTGCTATCTAATTTACAGAAATAAATAACTGAATTCTCAAATATAGCATAGTTTACTATTTAGAAACTATACACTATAAAGTATAAAAAAGATATTAATATTATATTATTATGTCGAGGTGATAAGAATCTACAATAATTAAGTATGAGAATGAGACCCGTTCTATTAAAACCTGATGCATTCGTTCCGATGGGGAAGGAATGGGGATAGGGATCTCAAAAGTAAAAAAAACTGGGGATGAGATGGAGATGGGGCCATGTAACTTGATCCCTGTCGTTAAAATTTGATCTGGATATTCAAAATCCAAGGATTCTCCTACCGAACCATTCTACAATTTCAAATTCCATAACCTTGCTTCTCTATCTCTGATCTTTTGTTGTATGTAACATATTTTAGGTCCTAGAAACGGTATTCAATGCTCTCTATGAAACACCGTCGATCTTCTCTTTGTAACACCCTGTCTCTCTGAATCGAGTTCTTCGTCGTTTCCTTTCGCCCCTGTTAGATCCTCTCCCTCATTTGTCGCCCCTGGAGTTTCAATCTTTCCTTGTTTGGCGTATTTTTCGGTTTTTCATTAAAATAATAGATCCATGTTCTTTATTGTAGATCCATATTTTTTGATTCAATCTTTTCTTTCTGCTTGGTTTTCAGTTTGATCGTTAAACTTTGTTGTTTGATATTTGCTTGTGACCTTCGATAATTACCAGTTTATTTTGGGTATTCTCAAAATTTATGTTGAACTTCCCTTTTAGTCTTTCAAAAGTCTGAAATCTTTCGAGCAGAAAAAGGAAATAGTTTCCGAGATTACAGATGACAGGGAGACAAGCCCATTGTCATCCAAATGAAATCCGTATTGGTGCACCTCATGTCAATATAATCTTTTCCTCACTTTTCCCCGTGGTGCACTTGACACTCACAAGCATCTACACAGATTTATAAAGTATGCCATCAGTTCCAATCTTGTTGTCGACATTTGGATTCTTGGGTGCACAATTTTTTGTTTTGGAAATGGCGACAACAAAACATCTGGAGTCACGTGTACACTATTATGTACACATAAGAAGGTCATTTCTTCTCTTAAATTGGTTTCCTTCTAATAAGTGCATATTAAGCTTCGAATTGAAGGTGCCATTCTACACACACATATTTAATACTAATGGCCTAGATAATATTTATGATATGTTTGTTTGAAGTTCCATCGTGATGCAATATGGGTGAAAATTGTGAGATCTAAGTTTCATCGAACAAGAATATTATGACATTGATACCTCTTTTCTTCTTCTTATCCTGTCCTTTTAGGCCAAGATTTTGGCTTCTTCTTCAATCGAGCCTTGTCTGTTAAAGGTACACAACTGATTCATCTTATTTTAGACATTTTATAGCTGAATTATATAATTATGAATCTTGTTAAGATTGATATCTCACCATTTACAACTCAGGCCAGATGGTGAATGTTAAAAATCAGTGAACCAGAGGTTGCACTAACTACTCTTGTGATATATCATGTCCTTTACTTGAATCAATTGAGATATCTGATTCAAACCTTGCTTGTTTCAGCTACTTGGGTCCAGCAGTTAGGATCAAACTCATGAACTACCAAGGCTTGAAACATATTCTAAGGGGGGACATGATCTACGTGGATTGGGAATAATTGTTACCAATCATCTAGATCCTATCCCCCTATAGAAATCTTTCTAAGCCTTGACAGTTCATGACTTTTATCCTAACTGTCGGATCAAAGTGGCTGAAACAAGCAAAGTTTGAATCACATATCTCAATGGATTCAAGTAAATGACATAGTATCATCACAAGAGTAGTTAATGCAAGCTCTAGTTCACTAATCTTAACATTCACCATCTGGCCTGAGTTGTAAATGGTGAGATATCAATCTTAACACAATTCTAATTATACAATTCAGTGATAAAATGTCTAAAACAACATTAATCAAGTGTGTACCTCTGATAGACAATGTTCGACTACAGAAGTTGCCAGACTTTTGGCCTAAAACTATATGGTAAGAAAAAAAAAAAGGTATTAATATCATAAAATTCTAGTCAGATGATACTTAGAGCTCACCGTTTTCACACTCACTTGCATCTCAATGGAACTTCAAACCAACATATCATAAATATTGTGTAGGCCATCAGTATTAAATAGTGTGTATAGAATGACAAATTTCAATTGGAGACTTAATATGCATTTATCATAAACAAGCTAATTTGAGAGAAGAATGACCGTTATTATGTGTATATATTAGTGTATCTGAGACCCAGATGTTTCTGTTGTTGCCATTTCCATAAAACTGTGCATCCAAGACTCTATATGTGAACAACAAGATTGGCACCAGTCGTCTTCTTTATAGTCTATGTGGATGCTCGAGAATGTGAAGTGCGCCATGGGCAAAAATGAAACAAAAAATTATACTGACCGTAGGGGCCAATAAGGAATTCATCCGAATGACGATGGGCATATCTCCCTGTGATCTGTAATCTTGGAAAAAGTTCTTTTTACTGCTCGAAAGATTTCAAAGACTAAAAAAGAAGTTCAACATAAATTTCGAAATACCCAAAATAAAATGGTCATTATGGAAGGTTACAAGCAAATATCAAACAACAACGTTTAAAGATGAAACTGAAAACTAAGCAATCGAAAAAGATCGAACCAAAATATATGGATCTACAATAAACAACATAGATCTATTATTTTAAAGAAAAAACTGAGAAATAAGCCAATTAGGGAGAGATCGAACCTCTGGGGGCGATAAATCATGGAGAACATCCAATGGCGGCGAAGGCGAACCAAGGAGAACTCGATTCACTGAGGGAGCGTGCTACAGAGAGAAGATCGTTGGTGTTTAACGGAGAGGATTTATCGCTCGGAACAAAAATAGATCTTGCTGTAGATTTTGGCGATGAATACCCTTTCTAGGACCGAAGATGAATCAAATATGTTACACACAACAAAAGGTTAGAGACGGAGAAACAAGGAAGGTACTTCCAGGACTCCTCAAGGAACCTGCAGTGATTGATTGTTTATGAGTTTGATATCTTCCCTACACAGCGTATGACTTATATATAATGTAAAGGGGTAAAAAAGCAACAAAAATCCGCTCAAAATCGTCTCAAACGGCTATAAAGCCGTTACCCAACGGTCATAAAGCCGTTACCCAACGGCTATAAAATTTCAAAAATTAGGCTACTCTCGTAATTGGTCAAGGGCAAGACCAGGATGTTAACCTATATATGGCTCTCTACTTCTAAGGAATTAAAAGAACCTCCAACAAAATTTTCAAACCAGTGAAAATAGAGATTTTGTGTCGACTTTTTTTCTTTCAAAAGATTTTCTTTAAAATAGAAAAAAAAATTGAAGAAAAATTGTAAAATTCTCTAAATTTGACAAACTCCGTTGAAATGGTTGTTTAAGAGAAAGAATTGATTTTTTTATTATTCCCATCAGTAAGAAAACTTGAAATTAAAGGTTTAAAAAAGAAATAAAATTTTAATAAATTTTAAAATATTTTTAATAATATACTTAATATGTTGTTTCCAAAATAGAAAAATTTTAACAATAATATAATAATAACGTAGTATCCAAATATAGAAAAATATTGTTAAAGATTTTGATTTTTGATTCCATTATAACGTCTTTATCTGTCCATTCCTAGATTTGTCGCTTTTCGTTTAATTTTACTTGGTTTTTTAAAATTGGTGGTTTTAGTTGATTATATGAAAGTGTGAGAAGATGTGTACCCCAACACGATCACTCTTGAAAAGAGCCCGTGAGAAGAAATGAGATTCTAACACACACACATACATACATACATACACACACACACACACACACACATATATATATATAGAGAGAGAGAGAGAGAGAAGAGTGATCAAATGCAAACCACTCATATTTGTACAAATTGTACAAACCACTCATATTTGTACAAACTGTGCAAACCACATCTATCCATCGATTTTAGGGGTGTTCGCGGTCCGGTTTGGGCGGTTTAACCCCTTAGACCACAAACCAAACCATAATGGCGGAATTTTCAAACCGAACGGTTTGACATCAAGTGCCCAGACCGGTCAAACCAGACCACGAAAAGGCAATCTGGTCTGACCGGTTTAGGCGGTTTGGGTCTTTAATGGACTTTAAATATTAAATTTGAAAAACATATACGATTTAGAATTTTAGATTAAGTATCCATTTTAACAATATATATATATATATATATATATATAACTAAACAAATAAATGTAATAATTAAGCAGCTCTTGAATATAAAGTCGAAGGAATCAAAAGTACAAACAAATAAATATATATTACATATTAGAAAACAAACAAATTAATAAAGTTAAAACTCCACTTTGAGTATTGAGTAACAAAATCCACGACTTCACAACCTTCAATAGTTCAATTTTTTTTTTATTAACCTGGATATCCACCCCGCTATGCGAGTCGACTAATCCCAGGGCGACCACCTGCTTTGCAGATAGCCCGGAGTCACTGCATTTGAACCTCCATGGCCACAAGGGGATATTTATTCCTCCTTGGATTTGAAC